CAAGTTGACTTATATTTCAAAAATCATAATGTGGTGTAACTAGTCTGGCAGTACGCCATGAACACCGTAACATGTTTTCAGAAAATGTAAAGCTTCACTGTTGAAAAATACTGGTGAATGTTTAAACCTTTTAAACTGAGAAATCATCTTCGCCCTACTGTTCTTAGCAAACGAAAGTAATGGAAGAAAGAAAATAAATAAAATAAAGACTTAAAAATAAAATAAATTATACAACTCCTAAAGTCATTACAGATATGATGAATAAATGCCGTAACTGAGAATCAAACCCGAGTCTCCCACACCATACGCAAACATTGAAAACTGAGCTTTAGCAGTCAACGTGGGTCCCATTTAAAAAACTTAAAAGTAACATCAAACAACGTAAATTAAAATATATATGTAAAGTAAAGCTAGTCGGCTTTGGCTCTTTAGCGCTGTTACGTCACGGATAAAAAACTGTAAATTCTTTTCTAAAGCTAGTGTACCCAATATGGATTAAATTATGTAAGTCATAATACATGCAAATAATTGTTTTCCGAAAGTGGAAGATTACAATATACGTGGTCTTCCAAACACGTTGTTGTACAATACGAAAAATACCATTGCCATTTAAAGGTAATAATGGTTTAAAGTTTTCGCGTGTATTTATATAATAAATTTTGTTGTTTATTTACCACATGTAAATTGTATATACTTAATGCAGCTGTCATATGTGTGTCCATACCCGTGCTTCTCTTCGTCACAAACTAGATTTAAGTGGACAGGATTAGAACTAGCCACGGGAAGTCACTTGGACCAAGCTTCTAGTTCGTGACCTACGAATGTGGTTTTGTGCGTGAGGAATATTTAGCAATGGTTTGTAGATGTCGAGGTCGCTGATATCTGTTTCAAGAATTTTCTACATTTCTCAGGAGATCGGAAGTATGACATCCCTGTCTTGGATCCACTAGTGGTCGACAAACTTTCTCTGACACACATGGGTTTAAACGCATCTTCCAGCAATTTCACCATCGTGGGAGTGAAGGATGCCTTTTTTGAGGATATCAGGTAATATTTTAATTACACACTAAAGATTAAATGATAAAATACCTGGAGTTTAATTTCCTTTTGAATCTTCCCGCACTTCAGAAATATCTGCTCATTGGCTATACCAGGGCTTGTCAACAGGTCCACCGATGTTTTGAGCGCCGTGCGTATATTTTTAGTAACACTGTGTCACAGCTAAGGCCAAAGAGACCGCTTTGTCATTTTGGGAAGTGTTCCGCAGTAACTGTTGGTGTGAACAAATCATAAACTTAATAATAAAGGTCAAATAGAAACAACAGCAGCCGTCAGAAAATTGCATGCTTCGAGGCTACAAGAAATAGTACAGCGTTGCAACACGAATACCGGATCCCTTGCTAGTCACTACAGCGCAGCACTCGCAGCGTAGCAAAGAAAAACTTTACTCTATTGGTGATTTAGAAATGCGTGGTGAACGTGTGAACTACTTTGTGGCACTGAAGCATCCAATTTGGTGACGGCTAATATTGGACGTATCTTACTTTTGAACTCTTTGAATTAAACCTGATATTGAATTAATGCATATCAAAAGCAGCATTTAATACCTCACTAATGACAGATACTGTCACAGAAAACTGAGTAAAATATGAAACTGTCTCCAACAATAGGACTAATTTAGCAGCAGTTTTAACAAACAAACAGTTTTTAAATGACCGACTTTAACGATGGCGGCCGAGTTTTGAAAGCCTCTGCGTATCTATTGTCACTTCCGATCTGACAGTCAGCTTATGAAAGTTTATGTACAAATTATTCTGTTGTTTCAAGCGTGAAGCAGCCACCATTTTACATATATTTCTTTCTCTGCGCCACCTGTCTTCGTTCGTGTCGGTCTGTACAGAAATAGTAGAGTATGGTCCCTGGTTTGGAAAAGTTTAAAAACACCCGAGATATGGCACAGCATCTAGTATATTTCTCTTCATCTAAACTTGCACCGAAGTCGCATGCAGTTTACCCTGACGAATTACTGAGGTCTCGACATTACGATCCTCCGCGATGGCGATTAAATTTAATATCGTGATCAAGTTTACTAGATCCGAAAGCTTCGCGTTTGTAATTTGTTATGTCTTTTTTCAAGACGAAAATGTTCTCAGGAAATGTTTCTGGTGATGACAGTTCAGAGATTTGCTATACGAGGTTCGATCGGAAAGTTTCAAGACTGTGTCAATACAGGGCGAACCGGATGTAGTACGAGCTTCTGCCGCTAGGGGGTGCGGCCTACATTCATAGTGAATCAGTGTGCCAGCCGGCATCATCGAATTAGCATTTGTTTCTTAGTTACGGGCGTCTTGGTAGTGCATTACACCGACCCTCCTGCGATTTCGGAATGGCGTGTGCATCAAATGTTGCCAAAGACTCGCCAAAACGGCTACGGAAACCTATGAAATGCTAAAGCAAGCATTTGGGGAAATACTTCGAAATGGGTCGTGCACAAACTTTTGTGGGGTCAGCTGATTCTAAAGGAAGAACTCCACACGCATCGCAGCCAAGTTTGTGCCTAGGCTCCTGTCTGAGGACCAGAAGCAGAATCGACTTCTCGTTTGTGAGGAGCTCAAAGATCTTGCAAGAACTGACCCCAACTTCCTTTCTAAGCTCCGTGTGACTTCTTCCTCTTTCCAAAGATGAAAATTCAGCTAAAGGGAAGGAGATTTGAGACGATAGAAGAGATTCAGGCAGAATCGCAGATGGTGCTTGATAGGCTGACAAAGAAAGATTTCCAGGGATGCTTCCAGGCTTGGCAGCGGCGTTGGGATCGTTGTGTTCACTCCAAAGGGAACTACTTCGAGGGTGATGGATGAATTTTATACCTGAGATAAGTGTACGGGTTTTTATACGCGCATTCTGGAAACCTTTCAATCGCACCTCGTACTTATTGACCTAGTGGTTATGAGTACACTAACATTATTCAAAACAGATGAGAAACAAATTCTTCCTTTAGAAACATCTATAAGATTAAGGTGAACAAAATGCCTCCCTCTAAAATGGATTATTAAGAGACTTAATGTAACTAAAATGTCTCCATAATCTTTTCCTTCTTGTTCGTATCCTTTTTGCTCCTATGTGGAGCATATAGGCCTCCTTTCGGAGGTTTTTTGATCTATATAAACATTTGGTAGGACTTCTTGAACGAGTGATCAAATCGTCGCTAGGCCTCTACCTGTACACAGGAGAGCACAACACAGAAATACGAGGACAAACACCAATGCCGTAGGTGGGATTCGAACCCAAGGTCCCAGTGTCCAAGAGCAGGAGACCCACGCCTCAAGACAGCGTGGCCACTCTGATCGGCATTTTCATATTAATAGTCGCATATACAGTGGATTCCGGTAATTGGGACACATCGCTCTACCTCAGGTGTGTCGTCCTCATTATTTTCCTGGTCTTCTGATGTCTTTTGGTGTTTTGCCGCAATTTGTTGAACAATTGCGTCCTCATAATCTTCATTTTCATTGTAACATTAAAGAGTATATTCGATGCATCCATACTCTTAGTTGTTTCTGACGTGTTGCACTTCCAAATGGCGTCATTTTCACTATATGTCGTATCTGGCATCTCCAAGCCTGAGTGTTTAAAGCCACAGTAAGCTGAGCCTTTCTGAAAGGTCTTGCTGTTTATTGCTCGAAAGCTGAATAGCTACACTGTCTGAATACGAACGTGTTCGTTACTGAATCAGCGATGACTCACTGACTCCTCCACGCCACACGCCACAAGCGCGCCATCTCACTGTCCCAAATTATTATTCAGTGTTCTGTCTTACAACAGGTCCATTGCTCTGCCCAAAAAGAGCTCTCCAGTTTTCCCTATTCTCAGCTTCTCGTTTTAATTCCTGGAACTTCATCTTCTTTCCTTGTTTCAGATCGTCGGTTAGCTGTATCACAGGCTGTATACAATAACTACTACTACTATGGCGTAACATCAACCTGGCCTTCGATGATATCACTCAGTAACCCATTCCTTCTCATAATATGTCCCAGCCAGTTAGCTTTCCTTCGTGTAATCGCCTGCAGAATGTTTCTTTGCTCGTTGTGTCCCAAATAAGCGAAGCAAATTCAGGTTACATTCTCGATTTGTTTTTGTTCTTTAAGATTTGTCACAAGTTAACGGCAATCCCGATTAAACAATAGCCCAATTAATCGGAATCTACTGTACATAACGAATTCTTCTCGGGCTTCCAGCCCTGTAAGAAGTTATTTTCGTTAAAACCTATAGTCGCAGTGAAAGCTTCAAATCATAAGTCACATATACGATGGGGCAGCCTCTGAACTTAGGTAAGGGAACTGGTATAACCATTGGTGTGTTATCAACAAACAGAACCCTAAATGCAACACGGTGTGTTACCCGGTGGTGGATAAGGGAATTCCCAATAGTGTGCTGGGCAACTGTGAATGTACTGTATCAGCAGTCACGGATCAAGTAGGGAACACGGCAGGAACTATAAAGTACTTAGATAAGTCAACCTCTTAAGGAAAAGTCCTAGAATATAAGCTGTACTACAAAACAAGCTAAAGTGCGTGGAGAATGGTTTTTCAAAAACGTTTTCGTCAGATTTCACCAAAACTTTCTCAACCAAGTAAATACCACTGTATTTTCTTTTTAAAAGTTCTGGTTAGCAAAATAAACCTTTAAACATTTTTCCTTTAAATCGTTTATTCAATATGTTGGCGGATTTGAGGAAATGGCTGCGTGTACACCAAACAAATAAGTTGACCGGATTGGTGTTTAGCCGTTTTCCAACAAACCCTTTACTTTACTAATTCGAACCTTGCCTCCAAATTTGAACTTTAGTTTTACAGGTTCATAATGTTTTCGTAAGCAACTTTTACAAATTTTGAAACTGTAACCTCTACAGGTTTTATCCCTATACTTCGGAGCTCTTTGTTATGAAAATCACTAACCAATTTTGGAAGGCTGTCAACCCATTTATAATACACTGAACAGAAGACTTTTCCCACATTTTCTCCTTAATTGTCCTATTGAATCTTTCGCAGATTGCAGCTTCTTTGTTACTAAATATTGAACAGTGGTTTATGTCACACTTATTCATTAATTCAGAAACTGTTCTGCTGTAAAACTCCTTTCTTTTATCAATTTAAAGATGACTTTCCGCTCATTAAAAAGAGTTTCGGAAGTTTTTACGATACTTATCTTTTAGTTGAGAAACGTGTCGGTTGTTGTTAACATGTACTTGAATCCATTAGTTCCTGTAATTTCAACCCAATCAGCATGCCGTCTATACTTTTGTAATATTAACTCTTGTAGGGTAATTTTTCCTATCGGTTTATGAAGTTCGTTAACTATCTTTTCCGTTCTTTTCCTTGTTTATACATATATTTTTTACAGCGAGGTGCAGTACCGTCACTCACGAATTGACTCATAGTCTTACCGCATACATTGCAGATACCTTTACGAAATATTTTACAGTTCTCAGTCGTTTCGGTATTTTCAGTACCCGCTTCTGTAGTAGTAACGTTTTTCATTTTATACAATGAACATATTTTTGGAAATAATGAATACTAAGAAATAAATTAAGTTAAAGGATTACTTTTTAACACGCCTCGAGGCTACAAAGGAACAAAGAGACGGTATTTATGAATAAAATAAACTTCGTCAGAAACCTGCAATCGATGCGATACGAAGTATAGGAACCGAAATTAAGTACACATTTAAGGAACAGAAACAAGGTGATCCAGTCAACCATAAATAACCTACGGACGCTGATGCGTTTATATATTATCACGAAGTACAGAGACGTTTGTGCTGCTGTTGCAGTAAACGATTATTCTGCGAATTTTATCGAACCAAAGTTGACAGAGTACATAAACTTGGCTGATGATAAAACGTTACGTTTAATACCTGTTGTTAAAAAGTTATATATCGGCAATTCTGAAGTAACTTTTAATGGGGGTTTTTCGATTATAAATGGAAAGACTAATGAAGGAAGAAATGGTCTATTAGCTTTGCTAATTTTGAAAGAATTAATGTTACAA